AGGTGCTCTTTCTACTTTATTTTATTTTTTTTTTTTGCCATGCTGAAAATTTATTTCCTTCCTATCCTTTGTTTTCTGTCAGGGATTAGAAATGGGCTAAGGGACAGAGCTGTACTCTCGCCCCATGACTATTTTGTTAGTCACTTTTGAGAGGCATTGTAAAGTTGTTGTTTCTTTTTTTGTTTTTGAAAGCATGTGTAAACTACATTGGCCTGTTCTCCTTTTCTCCCCCATTAGTTTGCTGATCCACTAGATTAGAGGGGCATGATTTTCCTTTGCAGAAGCCCTGCTGGTTTGCTCCCATCGTATCATTATCATTTTGACTTGAAAGATAGAGACTGGGAGGGCAACAGGGAGCTGGTTAAGTCTTCCAGATTCTGTGCCACCCCTGCCTTAGAATGAGCTATAGAGCAGTCTGAGGGGTGCTAACTGACACTGCTGGCATAAGGGCCCTTAGGCATCAGCATAGCTCTGTCCTTCCTCTGCCTCCCTTCCCCTGTGCTGGAGAGTGATGGCTGGCAGAGGGGGTAGCTTGTGTGGTGGCTGACTTGGCTGACTATTCCAGGGAGGGGTTCCCCTCCACCAGGGGAGTTCTCCTCTGGCTGCAGGGCTCACTGGTCTGCAGTTCCCAGTGTTATCTTTGTGCCTCTCTCACATAAGTGCCACATTTGCTACCCTTGTGTTACTCATGGAGTAGCTGATTTTTAATGTGACTGCAGATTTTTGTTAACCGCTCAGCCACTTCATAGTCAAGCTATGCAGAAAACTCCTGGGTGAATGCCATCTGAGCCTGGGGACTCCCTGATCTATAATTTATCTGTTTGTTCCTGCACCCACTCTTTGGGCACTTCAGTCTCTGACAGTGCCTCATCTTCATTGTCATAGGGGCCAGAAAGGCCTTCTGGGGTCAAAGAGGAAATGGTCATGGGGTAAGAGGAGGGGTGAAAATGGGTCTGGGAGGGAGACAACTGTTGGGATCAAGGGGGCTGAGGAGAGGGAGTGGAACTGGGCCCTGGGAGGAAGAAGAGGTGGAGATAAGCTGCTGATGAGGCCACAAAGAAGGGGAGAGAGGAACCCACTGAGATTATGGGGCCTAGAGAAGATTCTGGGTCAATATTTTTTTCAGCATGTGAATTTAAGCTGCTCAGCATGTGAGCCTGATGCCTGATGAGCCCTGAAGGCTGGTGTTAGGGTAGCAGGTGGTTGGGGTGTCTGTCTGTCTGCCAGGGACCTGGAATGGTTTCCACCCCGTAATACTTTTTGTCTTCCCTTCACTCTCCAGGGGGGACTCTCTGGTCCCATCTCCACTCCCGGCCTTGTTTAAAGCAAGGTTCTTTCGATGTCCCCGGTAGCCTAATCCCAAAGCCCAACTCCGCTCTGGTGGGCCATGGTGAGGAGCAGCGAGTAGGAACCTGCTCAGGGGCTGGCTCTCAGTCCAGCCAGAGCTCCAGCTTCTGCCCAGAGAATGGCACTGACCTCCCAACCTCTGCGAATCGCCACCCACCAGAAATTGCTGACCAATCGTCCTCTTGGGAGCAGTCACCTGACCACATGGATGCCAGACCAGGGACTGGTTGCAGGTTCCATACTGGATCCGCCGCCAATGGCCATAAGGGAGTTACTGGGGGGAAGGATTCAAGTGCAACACACACTCTGTTTGGTGTCACTGATTCTGTCTTCATGGCAATGGCCAAGGGACGCAGCCATCTGACCAACCAGAGCTTGGCCTTCCAGTCATGTGACTTGTTAACCAGCAGTGATGGTGTCAGCAGTGTATCAGAGAGGGAAGCGTCTCAGCAGGACACACGGCTACTGGCTGAGGAAAGGCCATCCCAGTCTTCTGCTGCAGTCCCGAAGGCTATGGGAGGAGGCCACCTGGTGAAGGTGGAACCTCAAGTTTGCCAGGTGTCTGATGCTCCCTGGGCTCAGCCCACACAGTCCCCAGTGGCTCCCCCAGGACAAAGGCAGCTGCATCCTGGAACCACCCTGTACAGCTCCAGCGAGTCCTACTGGTGTGACTCTGGGGGGCAGGAGTTGTTGAGGAGCATCTCAAGGGCCCGAGAAGGAGCAGGCCATGGTCAGCACAGAGAGCATCCAACTTCAGGACAGCGTGGGCCTCCAACCCATTGCTCTTTCCTAGGGGATGGCCAGGGGACCTGGAATGTGAACGAGGAGCTCATCCGGCTGTGGGCAGCCGAAATGCTCTTGGCTCTGGAGGGACTCCATCAACAGGGGGTGTTGTGCCGGGATCTCAACCCCAGAAACCTGCTGCTAGATGGTGCTGGTAGGTGCTGCTTGAGGCTATAGCATGAGGAGGGGTTTTATCCCCTCAACAGGGGGGCCTGTGGCATCTGATCCACTCCAGGATGGTTTGCCCCCGCACTGCATCTCTTTGTGTTTGTTCTGTGAAGTCTGAGCATCTCTGATCCAGACCCCACCCCTGTGCTCCAGGCCTTAAGGGCTTCTAGGAGACTGCTACAGTCTGCTGTGCATGAGGCAGAACAAGGCTGCTCAGCAATGTTAGCCACATGGAACATATCCTGTTCCCTGGGGGGTCCTGGCTACTTGGGACACCCCTCTGAGCCTCCACAGGGGAAGTTGTGATTAGCTGGGGCAGTCAGGCTAACAGTCCCCAGGGCTAATGGTTTGGGGGCCTTTGATTCTGCAAGTCAGCCCTCCCACCCTTGGTCTGGCAGCCTGAGTTCATTGCTCTCCAGAGTGCACTGCATGGCCTGACTCTTCTCTCGAGGCGGGTGTGTGTCTGTGTGATGAAGAATGTGGGGCAGGTTAGAAAACTACAAAATAAACAGTGGATCCTTTAAATGAGGAGCTGGTAAAAATGACCCTTTCCCCTTGACCCTCATCCTCTCTTCTTGCTCCATCCAGTTACTCTTGCTTGGATCCCATCCTACCCAGTCCTTCCACTAGCTGCAGACCTGTCACTCCCACTACCCCTTCCCCAGAAGAGTCTAGTCCCTGCTGTGCATGTGGGAATCACGTGTTCTGGGGCCTGGTGCTCTGTTGGGGCTCAGAGCAGTGAAAACATTGGAGCCCAGCTATGTTGCAGGGTCCAGGGGAGGTGCCAGTGGGGCAGCTTTTCCCACCATGTCCCATTGCAGGGGACGGGAGCCTGGAGGGATAGGGCCATGGCTTGTGGCACATGCTGCAATTATTAGGTGTCTTTTGTCCTGACCTCCCTACCTGCCCCTGACTGGTGCTGTTTCACAGGTCACATCCGTCTCACCTTCTTTGGCCAGTGGACAGAGGTGGAGCCACAATGCTGCAGCCAGGCCCTAGAAGATATGTACAGCGCCCCAGGTAAGGGAACAGTCTACTGCCTTCTCCGATGCCCCCTTGAGACACCTCAAGAGATTTATATCTGCCCAGCAGCATCTCCCTGTCTGCCTGATCTCTTCCAAGGGCAGCAGCCGCCAGCGCCCATGGGAGCTTGATGCACGGTTGCCTTTCAGCATCTCCCTCCTATTTGATCTTGAACTCATTTGGCTTTCTCTGCAGAAGTGGGTGGGATTTCTGAGCTGACTGAGGCCTGTGACTGGTGGAGCTTTGGGTCCCTGCTGTATGAGTTACTGACAGGAACGGTGAGTGGTTTCTGTGTCCCCATCTTATGTCAGGCAGGGGGCAGCATAGTATCAATCCTAGTGTTGGTGCCCCAGTGCACATGGGGGGGCTAGGAGGAGTCTGCATCCTGGTATTAGTGTCCTGGGGTGTAGATTGGGCTCCAGGCTGAGTTGTCACTGGGCATGTGACTCCTAGTACCGGAGCCTGGGTATCTGGATGCTGCTCCCTGGGGTGCTGAGGGCCTAAAGCTGATGAGCCATTGAATTGTGGGAGATGGGCACTGGGGGGCTGAGACTGTTACTCTCATGATGCTTGGGGAGGGGCAGTGGCAGATGAGGTGTAAGGAGGACAGTGCCCACTGCACAGGGTTCTCCTCACTGTCTGTCTCTCCTGCAGTCGCTGTCCCAGAGCCACCCCTCAGGGATTCACCCTCACACCCAGCTGCACCTTTCGGAGAGGCTCAGCCTGCCTGCTGCATCCCTGCTCACTGAGGTGAGGACACCCAGGTAGTGTGAGCAGGGGGAGGGGGCCATGGGTCTGGAGCAGGGCTAAGGCATCTTTGGCTGGAGCCTGCTGGGTGAGGGGTGGGAAGGGCCCTTGCTGGGGCTGTGCTGCTGCTCCCCATCTCATCCCTGTGTCCATTTCCTTCTAGCTGCTGCAGTTTGATCCCAAGCGACGCTTGGGCTCTGGAGGAGGCGGAGTCAACAAGCTGAAGAGCCATCCGTTCTTTAGTACCATCCAGTGGAACAAGCTGGCTGGCTAGACAGACCCATGCGGAGCAGCAAGGAGTGAAGGATGGTGTCATGGTGCCAGGCGGGGGGCTAGCTGCTGATGTGCTGGGTGGGGCCCAGGGAGAGACCCAGATCCTGCTGGAGAAGCAGATTATCCCCCTAGATCACTGGGACCTGTGATCCTGGGTGGTACTTGCAGCTCTGCCAGTCTGGGGGAGGACCACTTCTGCAAGGGCTGATTGTGGGGGTCTGGACTGGGTCCAATTTGCAGCCTTGGCTTCTTCCTCTTGGGCTAATTTCCATTTGTGTTGCAGTGGCATATCCAAGAGATCAGGCCAGGCTGGGGTCATGTCATGTTGTCTCCCTGCCCTCCTTCCCCCAGGTCCTCCCATTCTCACCCTACATCTAACCCAACCCTGGTAAGGGTCACTAACCCCTACAGGGGCAAAGACATCAGTGCCAGGGGGCCTAACTCAGCCACTTTAGCCTACTACCTTGCCATCCCATGGGTTCCCTGGGACATTCCTGTCCCTCTTTACCCACAAGCTCTGTGGGGCTCTCCTTGCCTGGTGCTTTGTGTGGGAAGCGAGTCTCTGTAACTATGAATGAGACTCCCCTGCTCGCCTAGGGGGGTAGTACCTCCCTCTGGGGCAGGCTACCTGTTAGTGTCCAGCTCCTTCTCTGCCCATAGACTCCACCAGCTCCCTGGTTCTCCCTGCCCTTATCAACTGGGGATCCCACCCCACATCCCCGTTACTTTCTCCCCATTTCTCTGCTGCTGTCTGAGCTCTTTATGGCTAATACATTCCCAATGGCTACCGCTAGATGGAGTCTGGGGTTGTGGTCTGTGTGTCTCACTGGCTGCATGTGCACTAGCAGCACCTACCCATCGTATCTTGTGGGAGGGGTGGGGAGGAGCCATCCCCCCCACCCTCAAGTGTGTGAGAGGCTCCCCCTGGGATCTCTGACCTGCTCCGAGTGAATGTCTGAAATCAATAAAACAGCTTCACCCAAGTGGAGGATTGTTTCTGATTTATACACTATCCTTCATTTCCCTCTTGGAGCCATTTCCTTCTGTCTGCTCTGCACCCCCAGCCCACACCTGCTACTGCAACCTTGCCACCTTCTCCCTGAGCTCTCCTTTCAGGGAGATGTCGCTGTACTTGCAACCAGTGCTCCGTCCCCAAGGTTACTGACTTCCCAACCCGCTGGGCTCTAAGGCTGTGGGCAGGAAGAGGTTGGAGGATGAGGTGAGGGTGACTCACTGTGGAACCAATGCCTAGGGCAGGGCCTGCAGCTGGTGTTTAATTTCTGAGAAACTGGCCAAGTGGCAGGAGCAGGAAAGGTGTTAACCAGCTAGAGCCTTAAAGCGCGCTGTAAATGCAGTGCAAGGAGAGAGGAAGGCAAGGGCTGTTCCCTGACCTCTGGCAGCTCAAGCCTGTGCTGCAGCAGGCCTGCTGCTATTCCAATCCTTGACCCAGTAAGCGAGGGCCAGATGCAGAGGTGGGCTAGGTCCAGCAGGGAGCTAGGAGTGCCTGGCAAAGGGACTAAGTTGCCATGTGCTGCCTTTGCGCTTGTTCTGCACCACCTCAAGCTGGGTGTTTGGAGCAGAAACTCCCCAACAGCCTCTGTGGTGTAAGTGTCTCCTGCACTCTCCTTAGTGGGGAGCAGAGGGAGGGTCCTAAGCCCCAGGGGAGAATGAATCCCATTCACAGAGCCACATGCTGTGGGGGTGGACGGCTGGGAGTGGAATGGGCCTTTCTAAAGTAAACAGCTGCTGGTGTGATGGCTGAGAACAGGGTGGGGGAGCCATTGGTTCATTTCCTCTTTCATCCCTCTTGTGGTAGCCAAAGAGCTGAACATTGACGCCAGCTCTCCTGCTGTTGCGTATTCTGAAGACATGGCACTTGGCTTGTGAAGGGCTCAGTGGCTGCAGTGAAAGGCTCTTTGTTCAGCTCTTGGGTGCTACCTAGCTAATGGAAGGGCCAGTGGCAGCAGAATGCTAATGGGCTGTGTGCGGCTTATCTTAAGCCTCTCACAGCCATGCTGCAGGGGGGTTATGTTTCTAAGCCCTGTCCTACAAGGGGCCTGCAGGGCGGAGCAGTGGGGAGGTGGTACAGATGGCAGGGAAATCACTGGAGGTGCCAATGAAGCTGCATTGCAGCTGGGCTCCCCTTACCTGTCTGGCAAAGGAAGGCAAACCACCTCACAGACATGGTGACTGGTTCTATGTTCTGCCTAGCTCAGGCCCTGCCCGTTCCTCATTGATTGCCCCTAATCAGTGAGCTGTATGGCTGGGGGCCGCTTCTACTCAAGAGCAAGAAATGAAACTTAGTAACTGCCTCTCCTGGCTTGTCCTTTTGGCCAGTATGTGGGACACACAGGCGGAGGGGCGGGAGGAGGCAGGGCAGGAGGATGCACGTGTCTGTCTGTCTAGCACAGACATTCCCCTGATGCTCACCCAGTAGCTGGCCAGCTCTGTGGGGCTGCATTGCCCTCACAGTGAGCAGTGTCACGAGCGAGGAGCTGGGCAAGCAGGTAAAGAGGACCCATGCAAAAGAAAGCCAGTCCCTCCACCTGACCACCAGCACTTAAAGTGCTTCTGGCAACTACCTCAGGGAGGGAAGCCCTTCTGGAGCAGTGTGCAGAAGAGCACTTGCTGGGCAGCCAAGCTAGAGCAGCTAGCCTCCAACTTTTTCATCACAGGTGCCATATTTTACTAGAGCAGCCACCTCTGAACACACAGGAATTGGGCTGGTTGGGCACCATCTGTAACTATAAAAGCCCCACTTTGGGAATCAGAGCTAGCAGGGGGTTGGGGCAAGACATGGTTGCTGGAAGCAGTTTTGCCTGGTGAGGCTATTTCCTCACAGCTTTTCCCCCTCAGCTGAGGAGCTGGTTTCTGTGCCAGTGTCAGCTATGTTAAAGGTATATTGTACATGGGCAGAAATGCTAATACCACCCTGCTCTGTTGTATTTGCATTAGCCACAGCTGCTGCAGTTTTCACTTCCCGGCACCAGACAGGCATGGAGTATCAGGCTTAATCTGGCCAAGAAACAGCTGACACCATAAATCAGAGTGGAGCATAAGGGTAAAACAGGAAAACTTTAACCTTCATCCATGAGATTCATCCTCCTTCCACCTACAACCCTTAGAGTTTGGAGGTGGTGCTGGCTGCATCTGCCCAGTATTGGCAAAAGTGCCTCCTTGCCAGGGCCGGATCTGGCTTTTTTTGCCGCCCCCCCTCCCCCCAGAGTGCAGCAGGGGAGGGCACAGAGCCCGGCCACAGGCCCGCTCTCCCCAACTGTCCAGAGCGCTGGGAGGACGGAGAGCCCGGCCGGGGCTCCGCTCTCCCCGGCGGCCAGAGCGCTGCGGGGAGGGCGGCGAGCCCAGTCGTGGCCCCGCTCTTGGGCTGGAGCGCCACACTGTGCCACCCCCCTCCAGGTGCTGCCCCAAGCACATGCTTGGTGGGCTGGTGCCTGGAGCCGGCCCTGCTCCTTGCAGCTATTACTTGGTTAGACATCTGTGACCCTTTTGCTCTGATTCAGCTCTTGCCCCTGTATTCGGGGCCACTGTAGCATTTTAAGATGATTACAGGGCATGCTGCATGGGCCTTTGCTCTGAGACCTTGGCAAAGCTCCAGCAGCTGCAAAGTGGGTTTGTTCACTGCAAGGAAAAAGTAGACTTGTTTTGTGTGCAGTTGAGAGACATTTCTCACCCACTGAGCCATCACAGGAGCAGATGAGATTAGCTAACAGGCAAGCTCACAGCCCTGAGGTTTTATGACTTGGGGGAGGGAGAGGCACCTTTGGAACTCACTCTCCACTTGGTCCAAAGGCTTTACGGAGCCAACAGGCACAGCTCTGAACACAGTCCAGGGCCTATGTTTTCCCAGGATTCAGCTCCACAAGTGGGGTTTGCCTTTTGTGTTTTTAACTCTGTGCATACAGCAGGCTTGTGATATTAGACACATTTTATAACATAATCAGGTGGGCAGTTCAGTTCCACAGGGGCTCTCCCTGCAGCCATTCAATAGCACAATGGCTTCTTTTTTCTTTACGTACAAGGAGAAATATTTTGTACCTCATGGCTATTTTTCCAAACGAACATGAGCTTTCCGGAGTCTGGACAAGCCAGAGTCCATCACCAAAGAAAGCAGCCTTGACTCACAGGACCCAGCAGCACAGCGAGCTTTCAGCTACAGCCAGGTGCCTGTTTCCTCTCCTTAGTGCCATTGCTGTAGATACAATTGGATCCTGTAGTAGAAGAGGCTGTTCCATGCTCAGAGCTGTGAAACGGGCAAGTAAAAGCAACTGCTAGGGACCTACCCAGCACCCCCCAGCAAGGGCTGATGCGGTCCGTGGACAGAAGCTGTTTTCTAATGTTTATCGCCCAAGGGAGAAGCCCTAGCCCTTGAATGTAACACCATGGCAGACTCATGTCTGAGATTCAGCTTCCGGTTTTAATGTCTTCATTTTATCTTTTAACCTTCATTCTACCTTCCTCTGCAAACCTAAATGTTCCTCTACCCGCTCAGTGAGAGCACTCTGCAAAGAACACATTAATGGCACTGCCACGCTAGAGCTTCACTTCTCAGTCTTTCCCCAAAAACCAATAGCTTTAGCTCCCTCATTGTTTTGGAGATCCTGCTCCGCACAGCCGTCATTTGTCAATATCCTGCCAGTACTGGGCTGTCAGAGTGATGTTTTCTACCTGCAGTGGTCCCGGTGCCACAGAGTAGGAAGGGTATAATCTCTCTTTGTTACATCAGACCCCTGCATTTGCAACCTAAAATGACACTGCAACCATAACGCCCTGCAAGTTCCTATCCAGTTGGAGTTTGACTAAACAGGAGTCTTGGACACCTAACAGACAATCATGGAACCAAACTACCACCTGTGTTTCTCATTCCCATAGTAGAGACAACAGGCACAGCTCTGAACCCACCACAGCTGCAAAGATAGTCAAGCTAACACCCATAGCATGATGAGAAACAAGAGTTGATGCTGCTACAGACAGGCAAATAGAGCTGCAAACCTGACCCGGTGATCGGAGAAGCCCCCCTACATGACAAGTGAAGGAGCCAGCTGAGGAGGCCACTCCAGGCTATATACCCCTCCCCAACAGCTATCTAAGCCTTCAGACAAAAACAGGCTTGCAGAGTTAATGAATTTATTCCCTTGACAAAAAAAGGCCATGAGAGGGACCTGGTGCAGAGAATGCAGTCAGAAAAATCTTGCCTCAACTTCCATCATCACGCTGGTGGCAAATGCCCTGGTGCAGGGCCCAGCACGAGATTTCCCTCTGTGGGGACTACCCTTCCCATGGTGCTTCCAGCTAGTTTCTTGCACCAAGTCAGGGACACACATTCAAAACCCAGTGCCAGCACGTACACACTGCTGCTCCCCTTTCCCACCCCGCTACACCCCACCATTAGATCATTTCCCTGGTTTATGTCTTTAAAACCCATTGCGTTAAATACTTTAATTACAAAATTGTGTAGAGGGTGAGAATAATAGACCCGGCAGGGACTCCAAGTGCCCCTCGCTCACTGCTTCATGTGCACGCTATGTACTAAGGATATGCCCCCACACACCAGCAGTCTGGGGCTAGGATGCAGGGGCCCTTTGCCCAGCTGTCTCACAGCAGGGAGCAGGCCAGGCCATTGCAGACAGAAAACTGATGGTTTCACCCATCAACACTGGGCTGTAATTCAAAGGCAGCTGCGGGGGGGGGGAGGGGGGGGTTGTTTCTTATACTAACTGCTGGCAGGTAGTGGCCTAAGCCCAGGGGTGGCCCCTAGGGCCCAGCAGGGAATGGAGCTGCATCCCCTGGTGGAGGTTGCTGACCCTGCCCTGCCAGACATCAGACATTCACGCCATGTAGACCAGGCCAGAGAAAATGAACCAAACCTCAACACAGAAGAGGGTGGGAGGGGCTATTTCTGCCTTCCTGTCTGGGAAGGGAGGGAAACACGTGCCTGAATTCTAATGGCTGCACCTCAGCTGCTAGTTTGAAGAGC